ACTATTGTTAAATACTTAATTTGTTTTTGTTTTGGATAACAGAAGTGACATATACAGATTTGACATTTTATACAATTCTACATTAATGTTCATACAAACGTGAATCTAAATCTAAAGGAAATGTTTTGAACCATCCTTCACAAGGTCCAATCACAGTCTTCAACAAGATATCTCATTCTTCAAAAACTCCTGAAGATAAACTGCTCGCATTTAAATTTATGGATTTGGAAGATGCTTTTATGCAAAGAAACTTGCATTCAGGTTATACATATTAGCAGTTCATGCTTTCCCTAAGAAAAGATCCCTTGGCCTTGTTAGCACCATGCTCTGCTGTATAGCACTTCTAAATTTCATTTAATTGCATAATGCATATTATTCCAAAACTTTCTCTACTCTTCAGCACTTCCTCTTATGCTGAACTGTTGTGCTATTTACTCAATTGAAAGGTTCCACTATGGACTAAATCATCTGCAAAACGAATAATTGTAAATAAAAGCATTGGTATTGTAAATCAGGTTGCCTTTTATAACATGTCTTGATATAGTTGCTCAGTCAATGTCATGGTGCTGCTATACCATGTTATGTGGCCAAAATACATCTATAACTCTCATATGTTGCTGTCACCTCATTGGGGTGACTTACGTCATTCTGTTGTCCATACTCCACTTTCGCTGCTTGTGGTTGAAATTCAAGATGCCGTTCCTGTTTTTATCTGTACTTATCTTTGATAGGAATCGTGTCCTTGGTACAGTAACCAGATCTGTGAATTCAGGATATAAGGCAGATTGCTTTAAATAAACACTGATATGCTATTTAAAAAAGATGAAAAGAAAGAAAGATGAAACTCAAGGAAAGGAAGTTCTACCAGGATGAGGTTTCAGTCTTTTTTTTTGCTGCTGTATTGAGGTTTCTGTTCTTGAAGTGAGAATTACCAAAGTCAAATCCTCAATAACGATCATTGTCTGCTATACTATCAGTGAGCTCAATAATCAATACAATAAATAACTTGGATGCATATAGTAGCATAGTTTAGGCCCTGTGAAGGCTTCTACCTTACCCAGCAGCCCATCTGTTTCTCATGGGCCATCAATATATTCCCAGGCAGCCTGTATACGCACCCAGCAGAAGAAAAGCAAGTAGAGTGAAAGAAAAGCTATATTTAGATCAACAACACAAAAAAGCCATGTACTGTCTTTCTCCATTGCTTAGGCTGAGATGGAGTGACATCCTCACTTTCTGTCCCTCCACTCACCCTCATGATTTTCTTCACCTCAAGCTCTCTCGCTTTCTCCTCTCACTTTTTTTTCTCCCTCCAAGCTGTACTCTTTTTCATCAGATACCTGATTTATTTTTGAGATCTATACTCTGTTTTCAGATGTTTATTAACAGAATAAGGAATTCCATAATGGATTTTGAAAGTTATTTCCCATTATTATTTGACTTAGGATGCCGTAACATTTAAATATTTTAGGAAATATAGTGTTAGACACAATAATTATCATGATACATCTTTTTCAAAACATCTTAATTCTAACACTCAATAATAAGAACCCTTTAGGGTTCTGTGTAATCAGGAAAAGGGTTCTATATGGAACCTTTTGGGTTCATTCTTGATCAATTGTTTAAATATTTTTATTATTGACAAACATCAAGACCCTAAAATGTATTTATGAATGCATGTGAATGATCATAAAATTCAAAATATGGGGTTTAGAAAATGTATATATTTATATCATTTTATGTAGTTAATCAATATCACACGAAGCGCACAATTTCAGTTTTTCTCCTCCAAAAATCAGATTAAAATTAGGGCTGTCAAACGATTAATCGTTATTAATCGCATCCAAAATAAAAGTATGTGTTTACATAATATATGTGGGTGCACTGTGTATAATTATTTTGTATATAAATACACACACATGCATGTATATTTAAGAAAAAAAATGTTATTTATATATAAAATATGTATATTTATATATAATATAAATTATATATAAATCTATTTACAGTATGAAAATATTTCTTAAATATATACAAGCATGCGTGTGTATTTAAATATATAAAATAATTATACACAGAGCACCCACATATATTATGTAAACACAAACTTTTATTTTGGATGCGATTAATTGCGATTAATCGTTTGACAGCCCTAATTAAAATGTGATATTAAGTTACTACAACAGTTTAATAAACAATAATTTAATTACAACTACAAAATGTTGCAGAATACTGTAATAATATATGAATGAATAATAGCCTATAAAAAACCTTTGTGCCAAAAGGGTTCTTTCTTGTCATTATAGAACCTTTTTTAGCATAAAAGAACCCTAGCTTCATAGAACCCTATGCTTCATATATAGAACCTCAATGAACCCTTTTTTTCTAAGAGTGTAATGATATTAATTACTTTTATTATATTGAAAAAACTCCTAATTCTATAGCTATAGTGTATATTAATCCCAGATAGCTTTTGGACTAGCTGATGTACTTCTATGAAATAATTCCAACTATGGTCCCTGTTCCAGTTGAGGTATTTGAGTGAATGTGGCCCGCTTGCAAGCATGTGTATTAAGTATGAAAGAAAGCACATCGGTAGCATGGCTTCAAGATATGCAGCTCTAAAAGCCACAGCGGACGAAGTTGAATGAAGAAAGAGCACATGCTTCAGAGAGAGGGCTAAACAACCCGGGGCAGCCTTGGGCCTCTAGCATGCTGATTTAATGCAAACTGAAGAAGGAAAGGGTCCCTATTCATGCGCCACTGATTCAGTTTCGGTACCGTCCCATTATGACAGAGTGCAAGCTGACTCACCTTGACTCGCCTCGTGTTCGTGGAGCGTCCTGCATCATGTTATAATTGTCAGGACAGTAATGCTGCTGTGAAGGCATCCATCCCCGACCTCATTGGGCGGAACAGATTTACTCTCAGTGGGATCGGGCCTGGAGAGATAAGCGGACAGGGAGAGAGGTTATCTAGATCAAGACTCCCTGGGAGTTTGTGTGAAAATCTACCAGTGCTGTGAAAGATACAAAACAATGCAAATCCTCTTAGTGCTATAACAAAAGCATCACTGCATGAATGCAGTAACCAATAGAACAGACTGAATCAGTTTTATGATGCTATATGAAACATGAGGGTATGTGATCTTCTTTACTGAACTGTTTAGCCAAATAAAACAATTTCAAACAGAATCGCCTGTCGTGAATCTCAGGATGATTAATTCAGTGTTTCGGAACAAATTGTTTGAAGACACTCGTTTCTTTGATGAACGAATCAGTTGACTGAATGATTCAAAGAAAGTTGGAATGTGTCAAAGAAGCGGAGCGATAAAAAAAAACGTTGAAAATAAACCCTCAAAAATCTAATTTAATGAACTGGAACTGTTGTATAAAGGTATTTGGAAAATGGTGTGATAATTTAATGTCTTTTCGGGTGAAAACGCTGATTGTTTTTTTGGAGTCTATTATCATTAATTCCATAGGATTTAAAAAACACTTACTTCACTTTTAATTCACTGTTCCCCATTATAGGGCACCAAATGCATTAGTGCAAGTGGTTTCCCAGCTGTTTCTCATCAGGCAGATGTGTTTGTTTGCATTGTTAAATCATGCCCAAGTGAGCTTCAGTCTGGTCCTGATTTCATTTTTGCAATTAGTTACTGCTAGTGTTGGAGACTTCTGCTCAATAATTGGAACAAGCAGGAAATGAAAGAATTAGAGAAACCAGGGAACTACATTAGCGCAGTAATCAGATTAATTCACAAAAGGTTTGGCAATTTATGAAGTCTTTTAACAAATGTAAAGAAAAGTGTCTGTATTTAAAAACAATGATCACCAATTGGCACACAGAGACAGACTAAACTACGGCATGCAGTTAGTATCACGACTTATCACGTCTTTTTGTCTTTGAATGTACTGAAAAGAGGTTACATATGGGAAGCATTTATGCATTTGTATGTAAATAAGATGATAAAATAAGGAAAAAAAAGTTTATTTAAATGAGGCATGGTCTAAAAAACATTGATCCAAGCTAACATTTTTGATTACAGCATATTTTAAAAACAAGTAAAAATTAAGGCCTGCATAGATTGAGTATCCGTGGCATACCGAATGGTTAAAAATATTAATATATTACTGTAATTATGGATACCAATGTGTACAATAGTAAAGTGACAGAACTGCCTTTAAAGGGATAGTTCATTCCAAAACTAACATTTTGTCATAATGTCCCTCGATTTGTTCCAAACCTGTATGCTTTCTTGAACACAAAAGAAGATATTTTGAAGAAGGACAGAAACTAAACAGTTGATGAACCCCATTGACTTTTATAGTATTATTTTGTTCATGGAAGTCAATTGGTCACCCACATTCTTCCAAATATCTTCTTTGTGTTCAGCAGAAGAAAGAAATTCAGGTTTGGAACAATCTGAGAGTGAGTAACTGATGACTGAATTTTCATTTTTGGGTGAACTATCGCTTTAACTATCACACTCTAAAAATGCTGGGTCAAAAATGGACAAACCCAACCATTGGGTTCAATTTTTATAATAAATTTTTAACCCAACATTTGGGTTTGTCCGAATTTGACCCAAAGTTGGGTTAAAACAACCCAGCATTTTTAGCAGATGCTTTTATCCAAAGCATTAAATGAGGAACATCTGTAAAACCTAAAAACTAGCCTACCTGTTACCTTTGGTTTTCCAAATATGTGTCCCGAAGCTTCAACGCTTTGTAGACTAGGCTATATGTACAGAAAAAAATAGGGATATATGGATATGTGTTTAAAAACTAAATGTAGCCTAATTAAATATATTTATTTTGACCTATTCAGGCTTGCTATTCATAATGACAACACTTTTGGGCATCATAATGTGATGGGTGTCACTTCATCCCACTTCTTAATGCACAGTCTCTGTATTTCCTGCTGCAAGAGAATGAGATCTCAGTGTCTCGTGCGAGAGGTAAACATCTCCTCCCCCGCAACACTGGCTGCAGAATCGCATCTCCAGTGTGTGTGGAGCTAGCAGGGAGAAAATGGAGCCTGATTGAATGTGAGAGCAGGCGGAAGAAAGACAAGCAGCGGCAGAGGGAGGGCGTTTGCTCTCAGTGAGCAGCACAGCTCGGCTGCTGCAGTCAGGGCATCAATTTTATATAGGCGTTGAGTGCAGTGCCAGTGTGTTCGCTAGCATCAGAGCGGAGGCTTCGGCTTCCCCTCTCTCTGCCAGCCTCTTTACTCGCGTCTCGCTCGGACACAGAGTGATGGGGGGCGATACGAGCTGTCTCTATAGGCATGTCCGATTCTAGCGCAGCACTGCTCAGCTGCAAGGTAGGGATAGTTTGCTTTCTCTCTCCCTCACTTGCACTTTATCTCTGCCACTCTCTCTCTCTCTCTCGCTCTCGCTCACTGATTTTCTCTCTCGCGCTCCCTCTCTATTACATTTTCACTCCATGTGATTTTGTAATCAATCAGTGCTGCTTTGGTGACGTGAATGAATTTTGCATGCATTCTGCCTGGGTCATAGTCTATTAATATCCTCATGCAAGCCTTTTTTATGAATAAATTATTCTCAGTCGAGATGGAGCCTTAGCTTTTCGACCAGCATGCAGACTCATCAAATGCATTCAGCTGCAATAAATGTTTAATTGAGAACATGACTGAATTCTCTTTAACTCTCTCCTTTCTTTCTGTGGGTGGGTGTGCTTTTAAATTGTATTGCAAGCAGGTGATATGTCGTTTTGAAAGGCAGAAATGGCCATTCCAGGGGCTTCATCACGGTAGCCTAATATTTTTTATTAACTAGGGTCAGAATTATCCAGTTTTAAGGTGATATATTGCACTGAAAGGTGACAAAAATGGCAAGTTTTTACTTAAATGTTTCATATTTAATCTATTATAAATATATTTACATAAAGTTATGTACAGTTTAATTTTTCCATTTTTGCTTTTATCATTTCAGAATTTTATTCCATAATATAATATTTTTGGTCTTTATAGGTTTATTCACTTGACATAAATTTGTGGCATGCTGTGTGTTTTATATTCAAAAAGGGAAAAACTTTTTTTAATTCACCTAAATAAATCCCTTAATATCAATTCCAATGGGCAAATATGTGTAATAAAATAATAATAAAGTCAATTTAGTTCAGCCTTTTTTTCTGATACTGATTATAGACTGATAACATAAAGCAAAAATGCACTGTTGTTGCATGTAGTTGATTCTTCTGTGATCCCTGTTCTCATCACAATCAGGATCTGTCCTGCATCATCTCTACGTTGCAGCAGGCGTACAGGAGACTTGGAATCAGATTCTGACAATATGAATGAAAATAGGGCATGAAACTGTTTGAAGTATAGAAGAATGAATGACTGTTATCTAACAAACCTTGTGGACAAGGGGAGGTTCATTGATTTTCACCCCCTGTTGACTGTGTTCTGCTATTGCACACACAACAAGTTGTGTTAAACGTTAAACGCAGAGCTGCCATCATTTATGTTCACATGTATCTGCGGTTGAAAGAAAATGCAAAACACAATGCCTTTAAAAATCTGAGATTGAAAATGTTCTTTAAACCTAAATTAATTGTACATTATGATGTCATGTAAAATGATTACATTAATCACGTCAAAGCCTTTGTACAAAAAGGCTGAAGCTCATCATGTTTTACACTAAATTGTGGAGTTCATGCAGCTCGAGTGTTGCTGTCATTAAAGCAAAAGGAAGTTCTGAGTGTTTGGCAAATGGATTTACAATGTTGATATGTTTGGTTTTGGTGGTATAGATCTGCTGCTCTGCTGTTGGCTATTGCTTCTGCTGCAGAGCAAGTTTGAGACTTGCTACAATACACAACACACTGCTGTGAGCAAGTAAGACATGTTGCTTCTATACAATATAGCATACATTAAAATTGAATTACCCATAGCAGATATATACAGGTGGAGTTGGGGAAGGTGGAGAGTTTCTGAATGCTACAACTACTACAGCAAATGCTGACCAAGTATTTGAAGGTTGAATTTGAGCATGCAGTGAGCTCATTGTCTACTGATACAACAGGAACCAATCAGCTGCGCCCTAGAATTATGTGATCGCAAGCAGATTAAGTCAAGGACCAATCGGCCTGCGCCATCTAGAGTTTCATGACAGAACTTTATATAAACATTCAGAAATTCAAAATAATTTTTCAATTAAAATTTTGGTAACACTTTACTTAAAGGTTTAGTTCACCTCAAAATGGAAATTTACTGATAATTTATTTACCCCAATGCCATCCAAGACGTTCATTTCTTTCTTCTTTTAATCTTTTTGAGGAAAACATTTCAGGACTTTTCTCCACACAATGGACTTCAACGGTAACCAAATTGTTGAAGTCCAAATCAATGCAGTTTCAAAGGGCTTTTGAAGTGCTTCAAAGGGCTCTGCACGATCCCAGCTGAGGAACAGGTTGGCCATTTTTATAAAAAAAATAAAAATGTATATACTTTTTAAATAAAATTGTTCATCTTGTGCTGGTCTGCGACGCGCCAGGCATTACATAATCACGTTAGAAAGGTCATGCTGGACATAGGCGTAAGAACCGTCCCATTGTTTACAAGCGTGGTGATGGAGGATCGTTCAAATTTGATTGTATGTTTAATGACATATTTATGATTTTTATGTCAGTTTATTGTTTAAAATGGTCCTTTCGTGTGCGTATCCTGGATGTTTAAAACAATGGGGCGGTACGTCCAGCGTGACCTTTCCAACATGATTACGTAATGCTTGGCACGTCGCAGACCAGCACAAGACGAAAAATTGGGGTTGAAAAGTATATATATTTTTATATAGATTTTTTTTTTAATAAAAGGGCCCTATTCCTCAGCTGGGATCGTGCAAAGCCCTTTGAAGCACTTCAAATTAAGCCATTTGAAACTGCATTGATTTGGACTTCAACAATTTGGTTACCGTTTAAGTCCATTATGTGGAGGAAAACTCTGAAATGTTTTCCTCAAAAAAATGTAATTTCTTTTCCACTAAAGAAAGAAAGACATGAACATCTTGGATGGCATTGGGGTGAGTAAAATATCAGGAAACTTTCATTTTGAGGTGAACTAATCCTTTAAAGCCTTTACATATAATGCATTATAAAAGTTTTTTAATGCATGGATTATAAAAGTATTTTAATGCATTAATTATACCTTGTAACGCACATTATAATGCATTGTATGGTCTCATGAATAATTGTAACCACAGTTATTATACATTATAATACACATATATTAATTGCTACACCTTTAATGCATTAAAACAGATGACAAACAAGCAATGTAACAAGGAATCTGCAAATATTTGAATGCATTTTAACTTTTGGTACAATTATTTATGGAAAGATATAATGCATTAAAAAGGTATTCATAAAGGCTTTAAGTATAAAGTGTTAGCCAGCCTTTCACTCGAATTGTTTTGCTGACAATATTATTTGCAATTTAATTAGAACAACTAAAAATAGATGTATTTTTCAAAAGTGCTCTCAGACTTTGGACTCCACTGTCTGTTAAAAATGCAAATGGGTGATGCTTTGTAGCTGATGATACAAATTTGAAAACATTTAGAGAAAGTATTAATAGCTTCATTTCAGCTAAGCATTGCATGCAGCCTTGTCTGGGAATGTCTAATGGATAGGTGTGTGGATAAGGTGTGTTGTGGAAATACTCAGATGATGTTGCTATGCATCATGTCTTTTAAAGGATTACATTATCGATCAAGGTACTGAGTGAAAAATTGCTTAGTGTGTCGGGTCATCTGAAAACAACTCCGAGTTAATGTACGTTTAAACTGTGTGTGTAAGGAACACAAAGTGCATATCACAGCAAGTACACTGACGCTTACTGTTTGCGGGCGAACCCTGCATCACTGTTGATAAAAGTGGCCAAAAAGAAAGAAAATGTGTTTGATATTGTGTGTTGTTGTGCTTCAAAGCCATCATCTATTTTTCTTTTAATATATTTATAAACTGAACACATGAAAGAGATGAATATGGTGTAGTAGATATCATCCAAGAGCTGGTTCAGGATAGCTTTGTGGTAGAGATGCCTCCCATAGCAGGGCTGCCTTTTAATTAACATGTTCCTTTAGACGGGAGGTATATTTTAATCGCACATAAGAATCTTATCTTAGCCGGTGTCTGCTTAATTATGCTTTATCTCTTTCGACGGTAGGTGTCGCAGACACCTGCGCCCTCCGGCTGCCTTTGATATTTAAATCATATCCTCACTGTGCTCTGGATTTTGGAGGGAAAGAGAGCAAGAGAAAGGCTGCTCTGGAGGGGAAATCAGAGGGATGGAGGATTTCAATACTTGTTTAGGGTCAGTGGGTGTTTTGTTTTCGGGGCATTTCTTCTAGGGTCAGAAATGAATGTGGGCTAGGGGCAAAAATTAGGCAAACATGTGGCTGTCGTGGTTAAAAGATAAATGCAAATGAATAAAAAGTGTTGATTGTGGCGTTACATTTAGATCTGCTTAGGTTGCATCAGATTTCTTTTTCTTTTTTGCAGCATTGTAACCAACCACACTTTCTGTCGAGCTTATGAATTCATTTATGTATTCTATTATTCAACATAATATTGGTATCATATCGAGAGCAATAATCGCCCATGATGTTTTTATCATAAGTAGTTTTTATATTTTTTGGTGGCTATTTACAATATGCAATTGTCTTGTAAAAAATGGATGCCAACTTTGAATTAAAACAAAAGCAGTTGGTTAAATGGAATTATTTGACATGAATAGCAACATGTCAGAAGCATTATGCCCTTTACAAAGATAAAATGCCTCTGGAAGTCAAAAGACAATTCTATGTCTTTCATTAATTCTTTTAGATTTCAATTCAAGGTGCTTTATTGGCATGACAAATATTTTTACATTTAGTTCTGTCAAAGCATTTAATAGAAATTGCTGTCAGATAGAAATACCAAGTTCTGTCGTGAAAGTCCAGCCCTCGGTTTCACAGACAATGCATAAACTTAGTCCCAGACTAAAAATGCATGTTTGAGCTGTTTTAAATGAAAGCAACTTGAACTGACATATCTTAAATACACCACTGACATTGTTTAATCTCAAGATGCACTTCAGGAAAGTTTTTTTTTTCTAAGGCATTTTTATAAAAGCTACCTTCATGTTCTAAATGAACTAAGGCCTAATCCTGGCTTAATCTAAGCCCTGTCTGTGAAATCAGGCCTAAATGCAGGGTTGCCAGGTCTGTGCAACAAAAGTAGATCAATGACCAGTCAAAAGTTGCGCAAAAAATTTCTCCATCAGGCGGCCAAATTCTCTAAATTTGTACATTTGGCGGTGTTGGAGTGCTGAAATCATACTTACGGTGGTGGAAACCTACCCGCGGCAACAATTTACGGCCTAAATGGCACAGACTGATGATTCCTTAATACAACCTGATGACATTGACGTCGTTTACTACATGGAACGTGCTGATTGGTTCCTGCAGCCAATGAGCTGGCTGCTCAACATGTAAATAGCTGGGGAGTGTTTACTCCACCCATATACAGTAGATTTGCAACTGATCATTTTGATATATGCCCATGTCTGATGCCACAGCAGCGGATTGGTTTATCTATTGGCTATACCAAGGCCCTGCTGTACTTCTGCGGCATGCAGCAATAATCTACAATATAAATAATCAGCAGCAGCAGCACAGCTATTCCGCCAAGACCAAATACATTAGCATTGTCATTCCCATTATCATGCTAAAAATCTTCCAAGAATTGTCATGATGGAACTGAAAATAAAGCAATAAAAGGAAATAATATAAGTGACAAAGATATATAAAGTGAATACAATGAATGTACTAGTACAAGTAAACAAAAGTCATTAAAAAAATGAAATATGAAAGAGCATTTCTCACATTGCACTCTTGTCCTTTTCGCAGAGTTCAGCTGATTCCTACACTAGTAGACCATCGGATTCCGACCTGTCCCTGGAGGAGGACAAGGAGGCGTCTCGGCGTGAGGCCGAGCGCCAGGCCCACCTCCAGCTCGAGAGAGCCAAGGTTACACAGTCAATTACATCTCCCCTTTAAATAACTTTAACTTCTCTTAGTTTTTTGTTACTTTTCTAATGTTTTCTCCTTTTTGTGTAGACCAAACCTGTGGCATTTGCAGTGAGAACCAATGTCAGCTACTGTGGGGCTCTTGATGAAGACTGCCCGGTTCAGGGTACTGCCATCAACTTTGAAACCAAAGATTTTCTACATATAAAAGAGGTAGGAAGCGATCAATGAACTAAAGTGATCAGTAAGCTGATGTTTCAGTGCTTTATTGAGCACATTGTCTCAAATCCTACAGAAGTATAATAATGACTGGTGGATCGGGAGGCTGGTGAAGGAGGGGGCAGATATTGCCTTCATCCCCAGCCCTGTTAAACTGGAGGCCATGCGGATCAAACAGGAACAGAAAGCAGCTCAGAGGTCTGAACTACAAATTCATTTCATCATATCTACTCATTGAATACTGTATAGAGACCCATTCACACTAGGACAAAAATTATTTAAAAGTTTGTTCATTCTAAACATTAAAGAATAGCCACAATACTCCACACTATAGCTATAACGATAATGGCACAGAAAGACGATATCATTGGAATGATAACAACATTGACAGCCAATCAGAATCCATGCTGCTTTAAAGAGCTTGAGCATTTAAAGCCACAGATGACATAACTGAATCCCGTGTTTATAATAAAACGAATGGAGGATGATAGCATGCATTGGTGTGCCCGCTAAAGAAGCTGACATGGGATTAAAAAACAACACAACATTAAAAGTTAAATAAACAAGAAGTTAATAGTGAGTAGCGTATATTTTAGAAACAATATCGGCAGTTACTTTTGTGTATTTTGCTTTGTTCAAGACAAAGCCAGAAATGACCCTCGCCAACAGTGATGATAATTAGTGCTGGTTCATTTTTGCTATTAAAAAGAAATCTCAACTCATAAGTCCCCCATGGGATTCTGAGTTCAAAGTATGATAGCATACATTCAGCTATCCACATGTCTTATCGTATAATTTCTAAACTGTTCATGTTGTCAACAGGAAAATGGGAGGGAATGCTTCATCTGGGGGCTGGAGGTCTACTCCTCCTTCTGCAGGTGAGAGGTATTTAAATACTTTTACTGTAATGCCAGTACTGTTGAGCCACTCTCATTTACCATACCCTGCTTTTATCTGTCGGCATGATTTAATATTTCGGTAAAAAATTATTTTGCCATTTTGCGCAAAAACAGTTAAATTCTGATTTTCTTGTTTTCAACAAGCCAAACAGAAGCAGAAGCAGGTAGGTGGTTAAAGATTTTCCCTCGATTCCTTAATGCAACAGTCCCTTAAAAAGTGCTATTGCATATTCGCAGTTAGTGTCTGGCCTCTCTGATGATTCACTTTAAGATACTTTAATGCTGTGTTATTGAAACTGGATCCCTTGAGGCTACTCATTAGATGTTGAGAAATGTTAGTTAAGATTCAGAGCATGTGAGTGTGTGTGTGTGTGTGTTGCAGACTGAGCATGTTCCACCCTATGCTGTGGTTCCATCTATGAGGCCTGTTGTTCTGGTTGGCCCCTCACTGAAAGGATATGAGGTAAATTCTGCAGGGTTGAGTTAAATGAGTAAATAAAACTTTGCATATGTTATGTTGCAGTTCCTAATACAGTTATGTGAAACATTTACTAAGAAATCATCACTCAGTCATTTCACAAGTGTGTCTTTTACCTTGTAAATGTGATGACTATATATTAAGTCACAAAAATTGCAATGAAAAGCAAAACAATGTTATTTTAGTATTATTTAGATAACATTATAGTATTTCTAGATTTCTAGAAGTAGATTTTTTTGTTTTGTTTTAATTTTAATTTTAGTTAGTAATAGAAATAGTCCTAAAGTTAGAGTTTGGCATAAAAATTTGTTTGTTTTTTAAATCTATATTTAAAATATTTCTATATATCTTTAATGCATTTTTATTTCAGTTAATTTTATTCATTTTAGTTGTTCAAAATAAACTTATATTTCAAGTTTTTTAAAAGTTTAAGTTATTCGTAACTATATATATATATATATATATATATATATTTCAACTACAGAAAATCATTTTAGTACATTAAATTTGAGCAAAAATGACATTTCAAAAATCATCATGCAGAGACTGATTTATCTAATATATGATATGATAAGTCAGTGACACAATGACCTGCACTGTTTGTCACAAATGAAAGAAAAACAGTTAAATAAAAAAAAGATTATAAAAAGATAATGCAGTTTATACTTATATTTACATTAAATATAAGTTATATTTATATATTTATATTTACATAAGTTATATTTATATACTTAAATTTACATTATATTTACATATACTTATTTATATTTATATTTATATACTTATATTTACATTAAATAATAGTTTTATTGTTTACATTTAATATAAGAGTTTTGTTGTAATTTCATAAAAATGCAAAAATGAATGAGAAATATTTATGGTCAGTATTTTTTTATTTATATTTAATATATATATATATATATATATATAAAAACATAATTATTATATTCAATAAAATACAGTTTCATTGCCCGTGGAAGGTAATTATGGTGTGTAAATTCTTATCATTCACTTTTGGATCCTGTTATATATGACTGCTCGGGCAGTGTAAGGTATGAGAGGATTCACGAACGTGAAATATTTAAGTCCACAGAGCTCTGGACACATTTGTCAGTCAGCTCTTTAACAGAGACACCAGGGACCTGCTTCTCCTGCTGACTCCACTCTCTATTTCAGGAGTCATTCATTTTTCAACCTGTGTCTAAATAAAACCACATCATCCACACTATATTAGCCTTTTACATTCTTCACAATCCCCTGTTTAGGACTCCCAGTTATTTTCCCTTTAGATTCCTTAGACAACAAAATCACTGGTTACATGTTAACACTATTTATAGCTCAAGACCTGAATTACCTCAGATTGACAGGTTAATTATACCGTACATGAAACGTTTCTGGGGTGTGCATGTTTTCTCACAATCTTCTCTGATACAGGTGACTGATATGATGCAGAAAGCCTTGTTTGACTTCCTGAAACACAGGTTTGATGGGAGGTGAGTGAGTGAGCTAAGCTTAAAGGAACACTTCACCCAAAATTTGAATTTGGAAAAATGGATATAAATGGCTTACTCACCCTCATGTCGTTTAAAACCAATATGACTGACTTATATAGAAGAAAAAAGTTATTTTTGTGGCCATTTTAAAGGTACACTATGTAACATGTTGCCCTCTAGTGGTTAAAAAAACAGAACTGCATGCATTTTACAGAAGAGGATTAATTGTTGTGGTTGTGCTTCAGCTGAATATGGTTCTTTCTCTTAACTAAAAAACAAGAGAGAGATTATCCTACTGCTCATAAAACATTCCCTACTAGGCTTACGAGATATAACCAGAGAAGCTAAGGATCTCAAGCTGACTAGCTGAAGACGTTACACTCTAAAAAATGCTGGGTTGTTTCAACCCAACTTTGGGTCAAACATGGACAAACCCAGCCATTGGGTTCAATTTTAAAATAACCTTTTAACCCAATGTTTGGGTTTGTCTATATCTGATCCAAAATTGGGTTGAAACAGCCCAGCATTTTTTTAGAGTGTACTGTATCTCCCGTTAATAGACAAGGTACTTCCTTGTAAATAAATTCCAGCACAGCGCAACAACAGCACTCTAAAAAATGCTGGGTTGTTTTAACCCAATTTTGGGTCAAATATGGACAAACCCGAAATGTTGGGTTAAAAATGTAATGTAAAAATTTAACCCAACGGCTGGGTTAGTCCATATTTGACCCAAAGTTGGGTTAAAACAACCCAGCATTTTTTAGAGTGTATAATGAAATGACCCTTCACAATAGATAATGCTTTACAATCAACTCTGTTAGAGAGCTACATGTGGCAATTTATCTGTTCAATAAAATACCTTACTCACCTGTTGAGTAATATAAACGTCATCTCTGTGTCACCTTTACAACAGTTCAAATCCCTCAGTTCTCACTATCTCCGAAAAGCCAAGCCAAAGTTGATTTTCATTTTACTATGAGCTCTGTCATGAGCTTTTACTACTATCATTTTACTATGAGCTCTGAGAACGGGTGATTGGAGTTCAGTATTTAGTGTGTTCCATGTCAAGTTTTTTCACTCATTGTGACTGCCACGCCATACACTGTCAAAAAATATTGTTGCTTTAACTTAAAAAATTAAGTAACCTGGTTGCCTTAAAATTTTAAGTTGATTGAACTGGAAAAAGTGAGTTAAAACAATGAAGGAGATTGGTTTAATCATAAGAAACTCAAAATAATAAGTTATCTGAACTAAGTTGATTTGACAAAAGAAAAAATGTTGTGATAAATCTTCAAAACATTTTTTACAGTGTACACATCAAAGTAGCTAGAGCAAGAATGAGCATACGGGCGAATGACGCATGTACGCAATTTCCCACAAAAACCATCCACTCAGGTATAAAATATAAACACTTATAATAGGCTTACCGAGCCCGTTCTCATCCCAAGGCGTCATATACGACGCTTCTAAGCGTAAACATCCAACGCACGTGGCACCCTTTAGCGGCCTACTAGTGGTGCCACAGTGCGTTGGATGTTTCCGCTTTTGCAAAAGTGTCGTATATGACGCCTTGGGATGAGAATGCGTTGGCTTACCATAGTGAATCAGGGTAAGACAAAACCCACTTTTTGGAAGAGGAATTGATGATGTATTGAATAAGTTACATAGTGTGCCTTTAAATACATGTCAGTGAATGGGGACTGGGGCTGTCAAGCTTCAAAATATCAAAAAAACACCATAAAGTATCATAAAAGTGGTCCTGTGTGCTATATTACGAGTCTTCTGAATGTTTTTCTATTTTTTTGGCAGGATTTCTATCACACGGGTGACTGCAGATCTGTCTCTGGCTAAAAGGCCTAATATCAATAAGAAAGCTATCATGGAGAGGTCGAACACTCGCTCCAGTCTGGGTGAGTGACAAACATACAGGGGTAAAGCTAAATAGTACATAAATATAATGAGTGATAAAGTATTTTTGAGTATAGAGGATCTTATTTGTTGTTTCATTATTAATGTAGTTCCTATATTCTCATGTCTCTCTCTCTCTCTCTCTCTCTCTCAGCGGAGGTGGAGAGTGAGATTGAGAGAATATTTGAGCTGGCTAAAAGTCTGCAGTTGGTGATCTTGGATGCTGATACTATCAACCATCCCGCACAGCTTCTCAAGACCTCTCTAGCTCCCATCATTGTCTATGTGAAAGTGTCCTCTCCAAAGGTGCAACAATATTTAACGGGTCAATAAATCAGAACCCAAGTGCATTTTATTTACAGACTGATCAAACATAAAGGGCAGGGCAGGCCAGGGGTTGCATTGGTTCAATTAAACAGTGAACCAATAACATCATGACACATCAGACAAAGGAACACATGGCAGGATCACATGACTATAACAGGGAATCACATGACAACAGGTGCTTTTAATGCTTGTTTAATGTGCTTTTAAGTTTTTTTTCCTGTCCCAGACTTGGACTTAAAATATGAAGAATCCATAATAAAAATACAAATTATTACTTTTAATAATTCAATTATCATAAAACTATGATCATGAGTAAATAATACTGTTATGATTTATTATTATTTGAAAATTGAAAATGATTTATATAATTTAAGACCCATTTTCTCCCTCTATCAATTCCACCATAACCAGCAATTTGGCCCCTATATTATTTAGATATTATTATTATTATTAATCACTCAAAATTATCAAACAAAATACATAGAATTGGGATTAAAGTTACATTTGCTGTTTCAAAAAAATGAAAAATCTCTGAACATTGATACTAGACTAATTAATTTTGTGTTTGAAAAGTGTGCTTATTTTTTCCACAGGGTTAAAAGTTATATAATTCCCTGAAGCATTGCTCCCACTTTGTCCCTCATTTTCTTTCACTCCTTCTACCTCAGGTTCTTCAAAGACTCATTAAGTCCAGAGGGAAATCTCAAAGCAAACATCTCAACGTGCAATTGATGGCTGGAGATAAACTAGCACAGTGCCCTCCAGTGAGTCCCAGTACTGCACATACATCCAGCTCCTGTTAACAGACATTAAACCCGAGCAACAAATGAACAGATGCAATATCCTGCACTTTTACATACTGTTTATCCTCATTAGGAAATGTTTGATGTTATACTGGATGAGAATCAGTTAGAGGATGCCTGTGAACATCTGGCCGAATATTTAGATATATACTGGCGTGCCACTCATCTGCCAGGCGCCGCCCCCCTGAACCCTCTACTGGAGCAAAATGTAGTTACACCCCCCTCAGCTAACTCTAGCCAACAGGTGAGTGTTTAAATGTTAACTGCATGGACTTCACTTGCTCGATTGATCTTAAAGACTCTCTCATTCTCTATCTACAGTTCTCAGAGACACAGGAGCTAATTGAATGAGTACTTCCACAAATAAGCGTGAGTGTTGGATCGATTTTCATCCGTTAAGATCAGTACCGTTAATGTGTATTTCCTGGTCAGGGTTTATTTTGCACGCATTATCTTTTTTATTGTTAAAATTATAATATTAACCCTAAAACCGTATTCTGGACAAATGTGGGCAAAATAGTTTTGATTTATTTTTATTTTCCTAAGTTTGCCTCCTGAACACAAACTTTTTTGACTCAATTCTACAATGTTAAGTGGGTGAAAAAAACTCCTTAATCTTGTATTTGGGTCAAAAATGGGCACCCATAGAAATGAATGGGAAAAACTGTAATTTAGAGCATTCTAAAATAAGCCAAAAAAGACACAAAGTCACTTCATCTTTGGGTTTTAGCTCTAAGGAATGATATTTTAATGTAGTTAAAAAAAATAATAAATAAAACTACATAGTAATTAATTAACATAGAAATAATTTACATAGAAAATATGGTACTTTTTGAAGTAAATAAATTCAAAAATACCCCCTAAATTAAAAAAAAAATCACCAAAAATGGATAGACAAAACTTTATCGAATACAGTGATAACATGTATAATAAATAAAAATTAGGATCACACCTGAGTCCTCTGTGCCCACATTTGTCCACAATTACAGGATTAAGGGCTATAAAGTGAATACGGTTTGAGGGCTACTAATAACAACAATACAACAGCATGTTTATGTTTGAAAAATATTTAAAATAATGTCTTACATCAGACTAATAAATGGCGGTTTCATTTAGAAATTTTTTAACTACTTTTTATCATATCTCTGTAATCTACCCTATATTTGGACACTTTCAGCAGAATAGATTCATGTAAATTCTACAATGGCATCTGAAACCAGTTTTATTTTAGAATTATTTATTCTACTGTTCTTGTGTTCATTATTATTTTTAATTAGCTTTTATTTTTATATTTTTATTTTAAAGTACATAATTTTGTTATGTGCTTTTGTCATTTTTATTAGCTTTTTTATGAATATTTCTATATAATTTGTTTTAGTACGTTAACTTTTTTTCAATTAGTTGTGATGCAACATTTCTATTTGTTTTGTTTTTAAAATGTATTTATAATGTAATTTTACCTAACAAAAACTCATTTGAATTGTTTTCATTTTAGTTTTTGATTAACTGAAACACTTTGACGAGTTGACCACTAGGTGTCAGTAATTACAACGGCCCTATTGCACAACAAACAAAAACATTGGTGCACTATTAAATAACAAGTGACAGTAAGCTTGTCACCAGGGTGTTTATAACCATAATGATCCCTTTCTCCACTGCTCTCTGACTGTTATAGAGTGACACAGAACATTCCAGAAAGACCCCCAGAATATTCCTCAAAGGCCAGCCACTCACTGCCCCAGAATGAGACGGGGCTCAGAGCAACTCCCCCCCCACCCCTGATGAGAAAGAGGAGGAGCGGAGGGATGGAGAATGACATGAGGGCCAGAGGAGAAGTGGACCAATCCCAGCCTCACTGGCGGTGACAGCACACACCCTTCCGTGCACTAACGCATGTGTCGTCCTTTACATCTCAGGACCACTGCTGCAGGCCTTCAGCCAACACACACACACTGGCTGGTATACACACATTCAACTGGTCTGAACGTCCCTGCTGAGACCCACGCTGAGATCAAAAGCGGTTTTCCCTAAAACCCCTGGGTGATGCCGTCTGTCCGCCAGGTTCTGCCAGCCTGACTCTTATCTCCGGGGTGAGGCTGGCACTGGCATCAGAGCATCCGTACCATGCCCTAACAAAGAAGAGCACCCCGTGTCACAACTGCCAGTCAGCTCACCACGTCTCCACCTCCTGCATCGCTTTTGATTTGTTTTTTAAAGGTTTATCAAGACCGTAGCTTTTGCCCAGTTCACTTCATTTAAATGATTAGCTCATAATTAATAACCCAATAAGCTTTATGTAGCACAACTCTCAAATTACAGTTGGGACTATTTGTAACTGAAAAAGTTCTCCTGTTCTCCTTTTCTTGTGTCCTTTTTACTGCATCTACTGGGAATCTTTAGTTTTATATCAACCGAGGTAAATCCACTAGTAACTCATCAGTATTTACAACCACACTGCACGAATATCAGATCAATGAAAAGCAGACCACATGAATGTTTGTACATCTTTTGCTCAGATCTCAGTATTGCATTAAACATCATAAAACAGTATTATTTACTTTGTGGTTCTCTTCTGATGGGACAACAGCTGATTTAAAAAAAAGCTAAATTATATAAATAGTATGGAGCCCATGACATGCAGGGGGGAAGGGGATATATTGTGGCCACAAATTAAGAATTCCTTCTCTCGTTTTATCAAATTGTGGCCATTTTATTTTTTGTAGTAAATCGTGGCCACACATTAGGAATTTGTTTCCATGACTTATTACAAGTAAATCGTGGCCACGATACTAATTTGTTTAACTAAAAAAAGGGAACAAATCAGTACAATGTGGTTATGATTTAGTAAAATGATGGAACAAATTATGTCGTGCACACTATTTACTTACATTCTCTAGGACACATTTCTCAATATGTGGTCATTTTTTCAAAACTAACCAACTTTAAGCTTGGAACACAAGATAATTAACTTCACATTCAAAATGCACTAAAACACTCTCAAATCAACACTAACACTTGCAAAGCTTTAACCAATAAACTCACTTTGTCACTCATAAAACACTAACAACCGTTAGCATTGTACTGTTTATAATTCACGGCAGTACGTTACTTAGTCCATGTTTACATTACAGTTCGAAAGTTTTCCCTTTGTTTGGATGGTAATGAAATTGAAAGGCGAACATGTGTAGGTATAATCGAATTACTTTGAAAGTTTTTCATTTTTTTTTAGATTCAGAATATATTTCAATATGGAATTACTGTAGAAATATAGCAATTTTCTTTTATTTATTTTTGAATTAGTAAAACATGCTGAAAATATTTTATTTCCTCCCTGTCATGTGCGGGGCTCTGTAATACTGCAACTAACTATTTAATCATGCATAATTAGAATGACACAATAATTAGGCTTTTTAACTTTTAAAAAGAGGACATTAAACATCTAATCAAAACTATATGGCTTTTTGGTACAAAGTAAATTTGGATTAATACCAACCTGGATGTGTTGGCTGACATGCTCTCGTCCTTGAAACAATGAACAAACTAAGCAAAGTAAAAGAAAATTTCACTATTATTTGTAATGAAGTGAAACATGGTTTATTATGCTGCAATGTGCTTTTGAGTTATTCACTATTTATTTTGATGATTTAATTATTATTGTATTATTTATTTTTTAATTATAATTTGATTCGTATTAATATTTTATTTTGTATTCGTATTTGTTTTATCACTGTACATAATCGTACCATTGTTCCAACAGCAAAAGTAAGACACTAGAAGTCCTGAATGATATTTTTTTTTTATCTTTACCATCAACACTTATATGCATGATAAGTGATGATCTTGCTGACATATCTGATTCTGAAATTAAGTTTTGCTTGCTACTGTTCTTCCATGCAATAACCAAGACATTACCAATTTTAAATCACACATAACAGAATGACTTATGTCTTAATTTGCAAGACAATCTCTTAACTAAATGTTCACTAATTTTACTCTTTGCATACACGCAGATGCAATCCCATTGTACAATGAAGCGCCTAATCATGACTATGCATGACAAACGATCAGACATTTGTAGGAATACACTGCACTGTAAACTGAATGGGAAGATGCAATGGGCATAGAAATGTATAAACCGTCACAAACCATCCGCTTGAGTATACAGATTGCACATTAAAATTCATTGCCCTCATCTATATATAAATGCACAAACAAATGACTTTCTGTTAGTTTAAGATGTACAATATTATTTGCATATATCGAACAAAAATGTTATTTGGGACCATGTTGAATCTTCTGTCAATTTGTGAATCACTGAATATGAAAAGCAACAAGCAAGAGGCTTTAAAGCACAATGAGCTCTTCCCAATCAAAAATGTGATTGATATCCTTCCAGGTGAATTTTGTACATAGTCAAAAACTATGTCTTTGGGTCTCCAAAGTATATTTTCAAGGCTAATTGTTTATTTTATTAGATATTATGTTGTTCTCTATCACAATTTACTGTATGCAACACCAGAGGAAGGTGAAACTTGGCTTGTACTAATAAAGGTCTATCAAAGAATAAAGGGAAATCAATATGAATGCACTATTTTGTTTTTGAGGTTTTCTTTTGGTTTACAATGCAATAAAAGCACTATGTAAGTGTGTAAACCCTCTTCCAGTTGAAACCTTATCGTATTGTACTAATGTGACTAAGTTCTGGCCGAAAAAGGAAAAGAACTGCTGAGCAAAAGTATTGTGTGCTCTGGGGAAGAAAAAATGATTAAAAATGAAATTAAAAGAATGGTCTCTGGTTTCTGTCACTTGTGCATGTATTGTTAATACATAATGTCTTTTTAAAATAAACATTTTAGTATAAGAATACTTTAGACTTGCTAAATTTACTTTATCTTGTGGTGTGACATTATTTTAAGTCAGTTAATGAGGTTATAAAAGCCACGTGCAAAATTATAATTAGAAAAGAATTATAGATTCTGTTATAAAATAGTTTTAGATTAAGTGTATATTATGTCTTACCCGGCATGTCAAACATTTCACAAGTTTATATCAACTAACCAGCTACATGTAAAATGGTTGAGGAATCTCAAACATAAATTCAATATTTCCTCTAGAGGTCAGTGCAGGAGCAATAGTGCAGTCAGAATGAAAGGAAAATGTAAAAAAATATTTTCATGATTTGTAATCACAACATTTTTTCTTTTGTCAAATTCACTTAAATAATTTATGTACTTCAGATAACATATTATTTTGAGTTTCTGGTGATTAAATCAATCTCCATCATTGTATTAACTCAATTTTTCCATTTCAATGAACTTAAAAGTTTAAGGCAAGCAGGTTACTTATTTTTTTAAGTTAAACCAACAAATCTTTTTTACAATGTGTGTAAATGCAAAAACACTTCGTCTTTCTGTTTTTTTCTACAGATTTACATCTTTTAAACGTGAAACTGCAATAGTTACTCGAAGGAGGATTTCTACCTGATCTGAGCCTTAAAAACATTTGTTTGTTTTTATTTTTATTTTATTTGACATATAACCTCAAATTCATCAGGTTATTCAGGTGATATTAAAATATTGACTTCAATGAAAGTTAATTTTAAGCAGTAAGCATATTTTAAGTCACCAGCTAATCTGTTTACAATGCAGTGCACGCATTTAGCAATGAGGTCACATTTTGTCAAATATTAGACATACCCAAAATTTGGGAAAACTTGGGGTCAGACTAAGTCAAACACTCAGATTTATGCTTGAACATGGGTGGAAACGAAGAGCATTTACTGTAGATGCTTGTTACTGCCGCAAACTAACAGCAGCGAATTGCATTTACTGCAGGGGTGTCCAAACCCTGTCCTGCAGAGTTTAGCTACATGCCTCAACATTAGCTGGTTCAGGTGTGTTTCCATTTGGGTTGGAGCTAAATTTTGCAGGTTCCCAAGAACGGGAACTTTGAATTTCCCAAGAATTTTGCAGGCCCTCCAGGAGCAGGTTTGGACACCCCTGGCCGAATGTGCTAGATTTGCAGTTCAAAGTATGTCCGGCTTGTTTGTAATTGTGTTTACTACAAGCACCGTGAAGCAGACACACCATACCTCCACACTTTTCCTGCACTGCTGAGTGGGTCACCCTGGAACAGGAACTCATTAACACATGCTAATTAGCTGCCTGCTGGGCCTCTGTCTGCTGCAAGTGGGCGGTTGTGGGTCAGGGGTGTTGTTAGAGTCTCTCTCTCTCTCTCTCTCTCTCAGTTGGATTTCTAGAAGCAAGAAGAGCTGATTACTGCTGTGGCTTGATATGCTCTCAGTATCACGTTCCCTGTCATCAGAGCATAACAGGCCTATAACAAATCTCAAAGAAAGATTTGGCTATAATGAGAGAGCTGGAGAAAAAGAGATGGTGGTCCTGATCGACTGACCGGAACGTAAAGTTCGACAGAGAGCAATTGCCCTGATCTACTTGACCTCATCGCTGTATTCATCAGATCCACACATGCTGCAGAACAAATGGGCTTTGCCATTTCCATATGCTACTTTTCTTCATTTCTGTATGCTCCATTTCCCTCCTGAGAGGCTGACACTGAAAATGCTTTCATTTTTATCTGCAAATGACACAGCCATCTGTCACACATGAGGGTTTATCTTTATCTCTGGCACGGTCAACAAATGCTAAACGTCCATCTACGCAAGTTACATGCATGAAACGACACAAAAATACAACATTAAACATCTCCATAATGAATAACTTCATTAAGCAATATTGCTGTGTCTTTATTGCTTTAGCGCACGCAATATATAGTTGTCCCTGGAAGTGAATAAATAAATAACTATGTAAATGAATATAGAACATTTTTACATATCTCTCTAATGAATTAAACAAATTGTGAAATTTGTGGATAGTTTGGTCAACACATGTCTAAAACCTTCATAACATATCTTTCATCAGATTAGATATAATAAAATTTTCCAAAAGAGTGGGTTGTCGGAAATGTGTTTCTGGAGTCTTGACAAAGGGAATATGTCAAATGCACTGAAATATTTAAATAATTGAGGTCATCTCAGAAGGAAATTAGGAGATTCACAGATCATTAAAGGTTAGAGTGGTTTAGGAGGAAGGACGAGAATGTGTGAACAGTCCTATTGTCCTCATGTCTGTGGCTGTTGATGCTGAATGAAAACAAGTTAATTGATTACTTTAGACACAATGAACATGTCAGAATATGCAGGAAATCTGGAAAAATTGGCAAAGGGCCTATACTTTGCATGTCAAAGCATTGAAGAAGTAATGGGACCACGAGTATAATAAAAGTGAAAACTATTCTGACCCGGTATGTTAATTTTATGTTGCACGAATTTATATAAGCATCTTGTGTGTGTAATTTGGTCAACAGACTTCTAAAACACTTTATGGGGTTTTCATAAAATATCTTCCATTAGTCATGTCAAGTCACCTTTATTTATATAGCACTTTTTACAATACAGGTTGTATCAAAGCAGCTCCACAGTGATAACATGAAAGTAACACAACAAAGTTTGTTTCTAGAAGAAAATTGTGTCATCGTCCACCAGAAGTAAGACAGATCAATTATATTGTTGAATATTAAATGTCCCCAATTAAGCAAGCCAAAAGCAAAGGCGACAGTGGCAAGGAACCAAAACTCCATCAGGTGACAGATTGGAGAAAAAATCCTTTGGAGAACCCAGGCTCAGCCGGTGGCCAGTTCTCCTCTGGCCAACAATCGAACAGTGTGTGATTGATTCAGGCAGCATTACAGTTAGATTGGATCAGACCATTCACAATATTACTCCGTTCCATCTGGTTGGAGGTCGGAGTCATCACGTCTAGTCGGTATGGAGACCAGTTTGTTGAGGTGTCCATGAGGCCTTCAGGGGGCTGATGAGGCTGGCACTTCAGGAAAACGTTGTGGTCATGTCCAGGCGCAGGTTCACCGTCTGATCAGGATTTGGACCGGATCGGGCTGACCTCAGTAAACGGAAAGACTAACAATAGCGTAGATGCCATTCTTCTTAATGAGTACATCGGATGTTTATAGGAAGTGTCCTCGGTTCCAGCTGACCTAATCGCAGCCTAATTATTTAACTGATTTGAATAATAGAAATGTACAATGTTCTATGTGAATGCCAGGTAAAAGAGATTGTCTAGATTTAAACTGACAGGTAAAAATGAGATTAGTGCACTAGTCAGTGGAATGATGTTTCTGAACAAAGGGCAGCTATAAAGTACATATTTAAATCTTAAAATATATATGCATGTATGTTGCATATAGAAATTATTATGCATCATGCATAATGTATGTTATTATTTAACTTTAATTTTGAAAATATTCCACATATTCAATATTTCACATCTTACATAATTATCTTAAATAGATGCCATGTGACCATACAACTCTGAGGTTAAACAAAGGTAGGAACCCAACTACAACCTTCTGACACCTTATTCCTCTATCTCCTACAGCAGATTGTGTTGTGACACACTGGGCTGTTGATTATTCAGCTCCACCTGCTTTCCTGTGCTTTGTGCCCTGCTGTTACAGCAGGGGAATTCTTCTCATACATACTTCATGTGGTCTCCACCCCTGCTGCGGATACTACAAGCCTCATCTATGATACCACTAACTGGTTCAATATCGGTTGAAAGGCATAATAAAAAAAAAAAAAAAAGAGTACAATGGCTTCCATTCAAAATGAAGACAAAATATTTTAATGCCACCACAGAACATTGTTTGCAGTTTGACATTGTACGACTTTAGGGACAAAAACTGAGACAATGTGCTACACACATGCAATATTAATGTATACTGCTCTGAAACCATTCAGTGATGTGAAATTAGACCGTCTAATTTCAGTTTGAAGAATAATTGAATTAGTAGGGGAGAGGGGAGAGAAGTGTTTGCGTAAGGTCTATTCCCCTCAGCCTGCTGTCTCTGAGGTGTTTAACATACAAATATAACCTTGAAAGTGTCAGAGCCTCTGCGCCTAGTTTCTATCAGACTACTTTAGCCTTCTTAGACTCCCTGGGAGCCTACATTTTGAACTTCCTCATCAGGCCAATAAACTTTTGCCCTCACATTACGTCATTAATTAAACTACCGGTGTGTCCAAAACAAACACAGACTGGGATCAAAAAAGCAATTGGTCCAATAATCCAGTCCGTTAGTAATGTTTCATCTTTTTAGTCAAGGGGATTTTTGAAGAGGAGTCATGCAAGACTTTACAGTAAAATGACTAAACATGTCAAAATGGATACATTTGATCAAAACAATTTTTTCAGTATTATGGCAGGGAAAAAAAATAATAGTTTAAGAATTAGCTATTGAATTTTTGGAGGACATAGCCTATGGTTTGGGGAATATTTGAGGTTGTTGTTGTGATTTTTTTTTTAAAAGACCTCAGAGAAATGAAAGGAAAACTGAAAGAAAGTAGGCAATTCACAGATCATTAAACTAGGTGGAAGTAAAGTCGTATAGGTGGACACTAATCTGTGAACAAACCAAATGACTGGCTTTTGGTGCTGAGTGAAAACAATCTAATCAGCCTAGCTATTCGGGAGATAATTAAGACTTCACATTATGCAGGAAAAGCCGTGAAGTGGCATCATTTAGTTTGTTTGTGACAGACGTACATTGAAGCAAACTATCTCAGAGGCAATTATATATTTGTAAAGCGTCTTTTGTAAACACAGAAAAACCCTAGTGTGGATATTTTGGACAACTCATGTATAAAATTAGCATTCTTGTGGAATTTTTCACCGATAAGGATTAGCCAGAAGTTTCCCAAAAGACTGAGTCGTCGGGGAAATACGTTTCCATCCAGATGGAGGAGGGAATAATGCGAGACGTCATGAGCATCCTGCAAGGTGATTGGCTGTTGTGCGGCAGATATAAACCCACAGTCCACAGTTCAATCACTTCGGCGCAGTGTTGTGTATTATCACCACAGAAACAGTAGGGTACTCGCGCATCCTCGTGTCGGTCTGTTTTAGGCGTATTACTTTTTGTTTATTGTATTCTGTTAGAAGACATCGTGAAACCATGAAAGAGAGAAGAAACGCACAACCAATGGTTGTCAGATGTAAACTGGTGCTGGTTGGGGATGTTCAATGCGGGAAAACTGCGATGTTACAGGTTTTGGCGAAGGATTGTTATCCGGAGGTCAGTAGCCTACAGAATTTCTCATAAACTTATTTGTTAAAACAATTCTGTAATATTATTAATGGTTATTCCGAATGACATTTATGTCTAGAGTAACTGTTGTTTTCACTCATGCATGCAAGAATAGTGTTATTGAAACATTCGTTGGTTACCAAGTCCGTTAGGATTTTACAAAATGATGCAATCATTAAATTGGTTTACGTAGAGGCAGGGTTTTAGATTTAAAGTGGTAACTTACCCCGGTTTGTTTTTAAGCACCACATATACATGTAGCATCACATGCATGTTCATCAGTTTTAATATGTTGCATCTCTTCCTCAGACGTATGTGCCCACAGTATTTGAGAACTACACGGCCTGTCTGGAGCTTGATGACCAACGTGTTGAATTGAGTTTATGGGACACGTCAGGTAAGATTAAATGGGTGACCCCATGACTAAATATTAAAATGCATCTAAATCTAAAGTAACGTTTTGTTTTGGGCATGTTATGTAACTTGGAGCACATCATTATGTAAATGGGTCTCTACATAAAATGAAATGTCTTGTGTAATGGAGGAAAAACGTATAAGCTCTGTTAATTTATAAAAACTTTAAATCAAAATACATTAGTGGGATTCTTGATAATGTGATGTCAAAATGGACTAGGAGTATGGCAAGCCGTTTTGTCATTTATTAATTCCCAGGACATTCATTTTGACATCAACAATTACATTTTCACTAGTTAAAATGCCACTTCTTGATATCAGGAATTAAATTTGAACTTGTAAAAACTAATTCTTGATATTTGTAGCTAATTGAATTTTCACTAGTTAAATTTCACCATAGGCTGCTGCCATTCAAATCCAATTGTTGATATCAGGAATTGATTTAGTTGAAATTCCAATTTCACATATCAGAAATACAACTTGTACCATACCTGTCAACACTCCCGTTTTACCCGGGTTTCTCCCGTTTTTTTAGCCCTATCTCCCGGTTTGTTATTTCTCCTGGGAAACTCCCGTAATTTGCATGGCCCAAACTCCTTAATGAATAAACGGACCAATATGTTTGTCTAATATTGACCAGTTGCCAGATCTTGTATTAAATACATTATATTCACACAATCCACACAACATAAACAATTTCAACCCGTTTGTCATCTCAACCTGGCAACCTATACCCCAATTGCGCAGTCGCGGAAAGCTCAACCCAAACGCGAGCAAAAGAGTCAACTTCAGAATAACAGTCAGTTGTGTGAACAACACAAGGCATCTGTGTATTTTTGAGCACTTTGGACAGAGTGGTGATAATGAGATTAGGATGTTTACATGTCTGTTTATTAGGATTAAAATTGGCGTACTCCATAGTTTAATGTGAATATGGTTACTACGATTTAGAGCTTAACCACATTAGTTTGTATTGCGTTTAAATGAGGAATAGTTTAATCACAATATTGCCAAAGTCCCATTATAATCGCATTATGAGGGTGCATGTACACACACTGATTGTCACTAGTGACAATCAAATTATAGATATCAAAAATGAACTTTCACAATTCAATTGTTAATATTAAGAATAGACATTAGCACTAGTAACCATGTAATTATTGATATCAAAAATGATGATTTTTACTAGTACGAATTGTATTGCTGATATATGAAATTAGAATTTCAACTAAATCAATTCTTTACATCAACAATTGAATTTGAATGGCAGCCTATGAAATTTAACGCAATTACAGATATCAAGAATTAGTTTTTACTGGTTCAAATTTAATTCTTGATATGAAGAAATCATATCCCTATTGATTAAAAGTCAAAATGGCTTGCCATACTAGGAGGGGGAATTTTATTAGGGACAGTGCATGTTAATAAACATTTCTGTAAATTTGCCAGAATTAGCCAAAAGACTATTTTTCATCAGCAGTTCCACAATGTTGCATCTGTGTAGTTAATATCATCAGTTATTCATGCATTTTTGCTTTAGAGTGTATTCATAGTCTAATTGAAATTGTCTGGAGAAAACACTAGAAATTGGAAACCACAGAATTGTTTGATGTTAGAAAATGTGCCAATATCTTAATAGTCAGTAGTCACTGTCAATTGCTACATTCCTTACAGTTGTTACAAATTGTAGCTGTTTTATATTCCGTTCAAGGAAACAGCCTGGCTTGTTTTGATCCGTGTTGGACCAATCCAGTCATGCTGATTACTAAACCAGACCTGATTTGAATATTCAACATATTATTTATGCTAATTCTGAAGCAGAGTAGGAAAATGTAAATGTAGAATAATTGTAACAGATGCTCAGTTTGCAATAGAACACCATATACAAACTATTTTCAACAAAGAAAATATATAACATGATGTATATAATATATGATATCTAGTGAACTTGAAAATCATTCCAAGAATTGATACTTGAATTGGAAAATCCAGTGATTATTTTATCCTAAAAAGTGCCATGTTAATGTGATTGTTTCCAAGATGACTGATGATAAACCCTGTACACCCTTAATCCTGGAAGTCAGCCAAACAGATTAGTGCTTGCCGAATCAAGAAAGCACAGTTTTTTGGTCCAATATGCATGAGGCATGAGACTATAGACTATGTCTGTCTTTCTAACAACTGCTGTACATAATCCGTAGCCTAACGACTACATGATCACTGAGGCAGTACACATCTCCCCACGGCTTCCCATTGTAGCCTATTGACCTGATTACAATGTGCTGTGTCTACTCCTCACTGCTCATTTCTGAATCCCTAATAAATGACAGACATGATAACCTCATGTCTCTTTGGATGTGTTGCCAATAGAAGCATCATTAGCACCTAGTAACGCCTGGCTGTCCGCTGACTGTCAAGTGTGGCTGATAGTACTAGGTTTCTAAAATGTGTTTGTGTACGTGTGCGATAGTGATTGCTAGCGAGGGAGAGAGAGAGAGAGCAAGATTAAGATTTCATGTACAGATTGCTGAATGAAATATGTGCTGTTAATATGCCCCTGCCTTTTGCTCATGCTTTTTGATCTGATAGTCTGCTTGGAGACAAGCCAGCTGAGAGAGAGTATGGTTTAAGGGGATGAATCGGGGCTTGAATGAGGATGAGAGGGCAAACCAGAGTTTTATCCAGTTTTTAGCTCTTAATCATGGCTGGTGTTGTAGAAGTCAGACTGTATTTCCATGAAGTTAAATGGATATTTCAATTCAATCTACTCTCGGATATAAACGGAATTGGCTGCATATCCATAAGTTTGGGGAAAAAGATAAATTGATTATTTGGCAAAAAACTAAAATGATACTGAAGTATTTCTCACAAAACTATATTCTCATAGCAACACTATTATGCTCACCAAAGCTGCATATATTTGTTTAAAAATACAGTAAAAACAGAAATATTACAAAATAAATGTTTCCATGTTAATGTAATTTATTCCTGTGATGATAAAGCTGAATTTTCAGTGTCGCATGATAAATCATTTTATTTGCTGATTTAGTGCTCAAGAAACATTTCTGAGCATTATCAATGTAAATATCGTTCTGCTTAATACTTTTGAAGGTACCATACATTTTCTTAGAAATATTAATAAAATGTATTTAAAAAATCTTAAATTTTAAATGTCTTTACTGTCCATTGATCAATTTATTGCAACCTTGCTGAAACACTAATTTTTTCTTTCTGACCCCAAACATTTCAGTGGTAATGCATGTGTGCATTCATTACCTTCAATGTGCATTTAAAAAAGATTTAATTGTGTAAAAATAAAGCTGGTAAAATTAGGTCATTGCACTTTTTCAATCACTTTGATTTTAATTACTACTAAAGAAAATTTAGCTTGAACTTCAGTTAGAAATGACAGAAATTGTGACAAGTGAGATGGATTTAAAAAAAACGACATAATAAGAACATTTTACAGTCTGGCAGATTTGATTTGGAGTGTTTTCGGTTATATGCTGTGTGCTATTTATATCGGCTTAGTGATACTGCTCAATGTGAACACTTCTTATTTGTCTTTTCCTCATTGATTGTGCTGACCTCATCATTGGGTTTCCAACTGCTTTCTTTGAGGCTCAGAAAGGATTTACAGGTGAAAATCAATCCTCTCACTTAATCGCGACAGCAAATTGGACCTTCTGCAGGCTCTTAGAAGATGGCCGTGTGTATTTCTAATATGGAGGCTATATTTAATTTGCATTTGGGGGGGGCATTAGCAATGGATTAGGTGGCATTTGCTGTTACACTGATGGATGTAAATTTTTGTGAATATAAATTCTGCTGCTTCAGTATGGGATGACTACACAAGATCGGATGTGTAAAAATAGTGCTCCATTAGCACATTAAAACAGCCAGTAGATTAATGTGCTCTCCAGTGGCCATTGGCAGTTGATGACGGGCACCAATGAGGAAACACCACAGCAGCTCTGAGATGGTATTCCCTGAGGGGTCATGGCCAGCCCCTGCAGTGAGAGAGAGGGGGGATTCTTTGTTAAGCTCCCATCATGTTCTGTGATGGAATCTCTGGGATCTTAAGGAAAAGGGGGGTTGGGGATATGGAGAATGCTCTAGGTTTTGTTCTCATCTCTAGTGGGAAGACGGACAGGGGCTTTCACTTGCTTCTGGCTCCTTTGTGAACGTTGACCTCTCTCAGCCCCCTGCTTGCATCTACATGAGTCTCAGAGTGCTGATTAATTCTCACATATTCTACTACATCGGAGTTTACTCTTATTCAGCTTATAAGTTCTGTTATAATATCTGTTGCAAATGCACATATTTAACTACAAGTCAGTAAAGATTTCAACAAGTACACAAAATAAGGGATGCACGAAATTTATGGGGCGTTATTGGCCCAATAAGAAAATTCGGCCGATATATTAAAGATGATAAATGGATTTTTTGCTTCAGCTGAGACACTTCAGATGCTCACTGTGTCATGATGGATTTGAATTGCTTGAAATATGATTGCAATCACTTACAGTTAAAGGGATACTCCACTTTTTTTTTGGAAATAGGCTCATTTTACAACTCCCCAGAGTTAAACTGTTGAGTTTTACCATTTTTGAATCCATTCAGCCATTTTTTTTTTTTATATTTAGAAGAATATCAGTAACCAGACAGTTTCTGGTCTCATTGATTTCCATAGTAGGAAAATACTATGGAAGTCAATAGGACCAGAAACTGTCTGGTTACTGATATTCTTCTAAATATCAGAAAATCGGCTGAATGCATTTGAAAACGGTAAAACTAAACTGTTTAACTCTGGGGGAGTTGTAAAATAAGCCTATTTCCCAAAAAAAGTGGAGTATCCCTTTAAAATACAGGTGACAGTCCACTGTCAGCATATGCAGTGCAAGTCCGTCATATAGGCTACATATAAAATTATAATGAGAACATTATAACTGTGTGCTTGGGACATGACTTTTAATGATGAGACTTTTGTTTTTGTAATCAGGCTTTCAAATATAAATAATTATTGATTATCGTATCGGCCAAAATTTTTATCTGTGCATCCCTACACAAATAACTTGTGCTTTGTTTTGAGTCAAACATGAATGATAATGATTTGCAGATCAATAACAACTGTTCTAATTGATTCAGTTCATTAAGTGAACTATTCTTCCGACTGATTAGTCTTTTTAAACACTTAATTAAAAGAATCATGTTATTTGGCTTGCTTAATTGAGCAAGTGACAACTCTAAAATAACGTATTGTCTGGAATTATTTTTGCAGCCAGACTTTTTCATAGTTCAATACAGCAAGCTCATTCACTTGGGTAAAATGCTTTCTTCTTTTCATTATGATACCATCTTCACACTGGAGTGATATTTTCTTTCCCTAGTAAATGACATTAAGCCATAATAGTTGACAGGATCTGTTATCACGGTCTCATTTAGACTGTCAGAGAAGGCTTAGTCATGAGGGACGAGCATTGTGAACATGACTCTTTTAATAAGTACTGAAGTGAATCATACCCAAGACCACCTTTTCAAGTGACGTTTTTACAATCCGAACTGTGACGTCAAGCACACTCAGGTCAGGTGCGCACCAAAAATCTTTCTTTAGTTTGAAAGTGATTCTTTTCATTATGTTTCAGAACATGTCTGATGCAACTTGATAGTTACATTCATGGTTCAGAGTCATTGCTGAAACGCTGCTAAAATAGTTTTTCAAAGAATGAAAGAGATCAGCAGATGGAATACGCTCCGGCTCTGGTCTGTGCGGCACACAAAAGCAGCCCACTCTACCTCCATCTGTTCTCTTCACAAGACTCTTCATGCACCCAAGGAAAAGGCCATCTCATATCAAACACATGCTCACGTTGGCCCACTTTTCAGTTAAGCTAGTTTGCTCTAGGCATGGCTTCACAACAAAAAAGCATTTAGTGTGATTGTAGCTACTCTACACTGCTCTTTTTTCCCCTTTTTGCATGCTTCACCAACCCTACATCTGGTAATACACGGCCAGCATAACATCCTCATCTTAGTTATCCAGGGAACATGCGGCCCAGGGTTGAGAGCGGAGAAGCGGTTTGTTCACACATAGTGCAGTTCTGTGGTCCAAGACTGCAGGTGGTATACATGATTCATGTTAGGAAGCGCTCCCTGCCAACAGCATAAGCGTCACGGTGTCCTTTTCAGATTTCAAACAGTGGTTTGAGTGAGTTTTGGTAAGCTCACCATGTGGAGGTCTTTTTCTCTGACTGCTGGGATGTGGCATTTTGTCAAGATTAATTGAAATTGCTTCTTGTCCCTCGGTGTACATCTACATCGATCTCTGCATTATAATCAACAGCAACTGAATGCAGCCTCACGCCCAGGTTTGTGTGTTCGTGGTTTCCCGGTAATAGAGGAAAGAGGCGGTGATCTGTGCTTCAGAGTGATATGTCTGCAGTGTGGCTCACACTCACTCAAACCCATTCCTACTTTAACCAGAGATCGCTCCATGATGAAATGAGGGAAATTAGCTTTTTTAGTTTCATGTTGAATTTTAGTTCATTAAAACTTAACCAACATGACACACAAAGCCCGCCCCAACGTTTGTGATTGGTGCCGCGATTTCGGTGGATTGGAAATGGCCTTGAATGAGCTCTTTGCCAGACTAACTTTCAGTGCAAATCTAAATTTGCCGGAAGTTGTCTGGGTTTTCCAAGGCTAGCTCATAAGAGTCATGTTGGATAAATTTTAATCAACCTAAAATCAACATGACATACAATTGAATATTAATGTATTGATTGGGGATTTTACTTGATGTTTACAGATTGGAATCAGAGAACTATTATTTTAGTGGGCGTACTTGCGTAAAAGTCATTTTTGAAAAATTATGTAACGGTTCTTGCAGAACGTTTTTCAGACTTTATACTGTATTCTATATAACAAAGTAAGTTAATAAACAGTGGGAGTTTGAGTCACTAAAAAATAACCTAATCAACTATTTGGGAATCAAATGTGATTTGATTCAATAATAAGAATCAAAGCATCAGTTATTTGGGAATCAACTGGTCGCACTGAAAAGTTTAGATTTTTTTGATGAGCAGTGCATGGCTAACAATCCTTTCAAAGACGTGGAGACTGTTACACGTGAGGTTCAGAAGGAAAAAATCATCCAGTAAAGGAGACTCTGCAATAGTGAGGTGTATATAAGGCTGTTTACGCCTCCCAAGCATCTTCTCAGTACCAAGTGGGTGGGCACTGCTCTGTATCAAATGATTGATGGGCAGTTAAGGGATGCCTTTAGGAAGACGGCGCTCTGCAGATGGTTGACTCCAAGGCTGTTGCTGTGGAAACAGAGGGACTGGAGGTACTGGGGAGGGGGGTGACTTAAGGATTCTGAGCAAGAGCGGGAAAGAGTGCCAACCCCAGCCCATCGCAACAGTTGCATAATCTACTAGAAAAAAAAAAAAAAACAGAGGGAGTGAGCGAGACACCTAAATCAATGAGGATTTAGAGCTCAATTGTCATTTTCTTCATCTTTACAATGCCAATATGGCACGCAGTGAGAAGAGGGCTTTAACAGGATGTATGATGAACAGGGGAGCTCTACCTCTGGCCTTTGTCTGCTTCTGTCTGCAGATACAGCACATTCACAGTCAGCTGTGTATGTACTGGTGGAAAATATTTAGAAGTTGATTTTATTTTTAACTTATTTTATTTGTACTTCAGTCTCTCTCTCTATTAGGAACACCATGCTAATACTGTGTTGGACCCCCTTTCGCCTTCATTTTATGTGGCATTGATTCAACAAGGTGCTGAATGCATTCTTTAGAAATGTTGGCCCATATTGATAGGATAGCATCTTGCAGTTGATGGAGATTTGTGGGATGCACATCCAGGGCACAAAGCTCCCGTTCCACCACATCCCAAAGATGCTCTATTGGGTTGAGATCTGGTAATTGTGGGGGCCATTTTAGTACAGTGAACTCATTGTCATGTTCAAGAATCCAATTTGAAATGATTGGAGTTTTGGGACATGGAAGTAGCCATCAGAGGATGGGTACATGGTGGCCATAAAGGGATGGACATGGTCAGAAACAATGCTCAGGTAGGCCGTGGCATTTAAATGATGCCCATTTGGCAATAAGGGGCCTAAAGTGTGCCAAGAAAACATCCCTCACACCATTACACCACCACCACCAGCCTGCACAGTGGTAACAAGGCATAAGGATCCATGTGCCAAATTCTGACTCTACCATCTGAAAGTCCCAACAGAAATCGAGACTCATCAGACGAGGGAACATTTTTCCAGTCTTCAACTGTCCAATTTTGGTGAGCTCTTGCAAATTGTAGCCTCTTTTTCCTATTTGTAGTGGAGATGATTGGTACCCGGTGGGGTCTTCTGCTGTTGTAGCCCATCCGCCTCAAGGTTGTGCGTGTTGTGGCTTCACAAATGCTTTGCTGCATACCTCGGTTGTAACGAGTGGTTATTTCAGTCAAAGTTGCTCTTCTATCAGCTTGAATCAGTCGGCCCATTCCCCTCTGACCTCTCGGATCAACAAGACATTTTCGCCCACAGGACTGCCACATACTGGATGTTTTTCCCTTTTCACAACATTCTTTGTGAATCCTAGAAATGGTTGTGCGTAGAAATCCCAGTAACTGAGCAGATTGTGAAATACTCAGACCGGTCCGTCTGGCACCAACAACAATGCTACGCTGGTCCTGTACAGTATTGTCTCCTGTACCGTATACGCACTGCAAATGGAGTATGTGTGAAACAGGCGTTAAACTAAAATTGAATGTTTATTTTGTTCATGTTTCTGATGATCAATACACCAAAATTGTCTATTCGTTTTGTTAATGTTGCTGGTTTGTGGATTTCAAAAACGCTTGCTGTCATAATTTTGTATTGAAATGTAATTTAAAAATATTCTCTACCTCTGAACTGACATTTTATTTTCTGCTGATTTCCTCTCTCATCATTGTAGTCATCTCTTCATTAGCATCTCTCTCTTGTTTCAGGATCTCCATACTATGATAATGTGAGACCCCTCTGCTACAGTGACTCCGATGCCGTGCTCCTCTGTTTTGACATCAGTCGCCCAGATATCTTTGACAGTGGACTTAAGAAGGTAACTAGATATTCCTATTAATATTCAAACCCACCACTGACCTCAAGAAAGCACTGCATTGGACTTTCTTTACCATAAAATGTTTTGTCGGGTAACCTTAAAATGTGCTTCTTATGGGATTATGAAGATAACAATTATTTATATATATATATATTATTTAAATATATATTACAATTAAAAACAATTATTTTATATATTTCTGTCTCTTTGCAGTGGAGGGCTGAGATCCTCGACTTCTGCCCTAGTACTCGTATTCTCCTTGTTGGTTGCAAGACAGACCTTCGGACAGATGTCTGCACGCTGATGGAACTGTCCAATCAGAAACAAACACCCATCACTCATGAGCAGGTACAGCCACACGTTGTTTCTCTCCACTGTTGCATTGATCTTGCTTACTCAGGCTGTAAGTCAATATTCTCTGTAAAACTGCTTTTTGAACTACACTACCACAATTAAAAGTTTGGGGTTAAGAATTTTTTTGAAAGACCTTTTTCCGTCTTAAACGGTAACTGCCTGTATAGACGACTCACAACGTGAACAAAGCTTTTGAATTTATGACCTGTATCTTTGGCTTCTATTAAGAACCAACAGCGAACTGAGTTTGTGCATCTCCTTCCATCACAGGGCTCTGCCATGGCCAAACAGTTGGGTGCCGAGGCTTATCTGGAGTGTTCAGCCTTCACCTCCGAGAAGAGCATCCACAGCGTGTTCCGCACAGCTGCGCTGGCTTGCATTAACAAGCTGCAGCCACTTGCCAAGCCAAGCCCGACCCGCCGGCTGTCCAAACGCCTGCTGCACCTCCCCAGCAAATCTGAGCTCCTATCCTCCACCTTCAAGAAGGAGAAGGCCAAGAGTTGCTCAGTAATGTGAGTGGAGAACTTCACCCCCATAACAAAAGCTACACCATTACCTGCGCTTTGGTCTGGGGAAGGGGGTGGGTTCCGATGGCCACATCATTGACGTGTGGGATCCTTCCTCACCCCCCAAAGAAACCCCTTTCAGAGCAAGTGGACACCTCGCTGTCCTCCTTGTCCTGAGCTCTTCAACAGTGCATATGTATTTTCAGTACTGTATCTTGCTTTTTTCAAAACGAGATTCAATCATCAGCCGTCATCTATTCACTCCTTGTTCTTGAGAGATTTGCTGTCGTTGTGCCAGTTGAAGCTCGGAGTGATTCAACTTAGGAAACAGATGTTTTTAAAGAGGTTCCAAAGTTCAATGTAATGTATAAATACGAGCTCTCTAGTGTAAGATTCAAAATACATGCTTACAGAATGCACTGATTAAATCTGAGGGAACCGATCCAAGGGAATTGTGAAGCCGGGACCGTTGGGGATCTGTGAGCGAGGCCTGGGTCATGTAGAGGAGAACGAGGCCCATTTGGCTTTATCATGCTGGTCGAATTGGCTGCAGTGCTGGAAGCGAAATGTGTGTTGTTGCCATTCATATCTGAACACTAAGATGGAGGAATAGAGGGAAACAAGGGCCAAAAATATGTTTAAAAAGACCATTTATGATGCTACCAAAGTCAATTTTCCCTTATTTCCTCTATTAGAACACTGTCTGATATATACATGCTTCTATTTTTAGAGGCAATATCTATCTGAGAGATAGGATGGGTGTGACTGGGGAATATATTACAGTGATTATCTGTATCTTAACATCTCCTGCTGCTCTGTAGTGTAGACAACCATGAATTTGTGAAGCAATCCCTGTTCTATATCGGGACTCGATCGGATCGAATTTGGCTTTTCTTTTTTTAAATGACCTCGAGAGATGTTGAAGAAGGCTGTACATCGCCTGGTTTGAGACAATTAAGTTCAGGCCAGCTTGGGTTTAGTTTTTCATGCATCTTATGTAGCAATCTCCTGTTTCATTGCCTCCATGCTCATTTTCAGCACTAGCAGCAGAAATATTTGTGGATGATATCGTCCATCGTGCTTCTAAACTTGATTCTCAATGGGAAAAATAAAAATATGTTTTCTTGTGCAAAGTGCAAATCTTGAAGTCTGCTTTCCACCACAAAGCAATAAATATGGTTCAAGTGCTTATAATTCAAAGTGTGTACAGTGGCAATAATTAAAACAAAAAAAGGCTATTATAAATTCATGCTAATGCTTTGTGGACATGCGTATATTTATGTGGATATACATCAGTGCTGCTGTAAAAACAAGCCACTATATTATGACTCTGTTGAGCCTTTGTTAAAGTAATTAGATGAAAATATGACCATTGGAGTGCAATGTTTTCCCCCCTCATTTTCAACCAAATTTGAATATTAGTGTTCTGTTCATGAGCATAAGAGAGGTTAATTCATGGAATGGAAGGAGATTTAGACTGGACATTTTAATATATGGATCAGGTGACCTGATAGGGGCTTTGTTTGTGAATCTTCAAGGCCAAACTGGAAATGGAAACAGACTTTTGGAATAAAACCGAACAGGCTGGTCCTGTTTAATGAAAGATATTTTTCCATTATTTAACTATTATTCAAATAGTTGTTTTTGCTTTATTTCTGTACACTTGAAATCAATATTTTGTTCAGTGGCGGAGGATGAGATGCGGGCAGCCACTGTGGCCGTTTACAAGCTCCGCCACTGTGATCACACACCAAATTCCTTATTGCATTGTCTAGTGACTTTGTAAATAAAAATGAAAATGAATTTTGGGTGCTAGGGAGTATGAACAGCGTGTAAACATGTCATACATTGTAGCTGCCAATTTATGTTTGTGAAGTTCTGGGTCATGTGAGCGTCCCAGATGAAGGACATTCAGTCATTATGCTGCCATTGCACACTGTTTGGTACAAATATACTTCAAGCATGTCCTCTAGTTCTTCAGTTGTACATATCCTGTTTTGTAATCTTTGTAAGACATCTAAAAGAATGTCACAAGATTAAATATTTGTTCATGTTGTGGATTGACAAAGATGTGCTTAATGTAAAACTGCTTAGTCCTATTTATTTGGATTCATCATTTGAGGCAGGCAACTATTTTCTGTTTCATGTTTTACACTGTTTTATTTCAGAATGTTATTTTTGAAATGATGTCTTCTCCTTTTGTCTTTCCTGTAATAAAGCTTGCCTTTGTGTGGCACACACGACCTTGAGTATTGAGTATTTGAGTTTGTTTTTAAACGTGAACTAAGGCAATTCATAAAATACCCATTTACATATTGTATATATATATGTATATATATGTACGATCTTTAAATGTACCTCAAGTATCAACCAAGGGAAACTGAAAAATGTTGCCCAATAATTGTTTCTTTGACTAAGAAAGACATGCTTAAATTGTACATTTATATGGATATATACTTCCATAGCATACTTAAACTTATAGTAACCCATGTCAAAATAAGGTAGCTTAATTTCTGTAATATTCAAAAAGGATCACATGATCCTTCGGAAATCATTCTAATATGATGATTTGGTAAATGGTAGACATGCTTTTAATATAATATTTTGAATAATAATAATATTTTGCCGAAACCGTTTTTCAGGATTTGATGAAAGTTCAAAATTAGTTAAAAACAGCATTTATTAGAAATGGAACATTATAAATGGATTTAGTGTCACTAAATTCCTTGCAATCAATTGAATGCATCCTTGCTGAATAATTTCTTTTAAAAAAAATCGTAGAATCTATTTCTTCTGTAAATCTATCAAAAAAATGACTTGTGTCATTTCTATTTCCATTAATAAAATGCTAGCTCTCCTTCTGTTAGTGTCTGTTTGAATGCCAGGTGGGCTGTTGCGTTGGCACGTTCCTTCCTTTCATCAGCCAGTGTAAGACATCTCCCTTCTTAACTACACATTACCTCGATTCCTTGGATACTGAGCTGGGGGGAACATCTGTCTCAAGACACAACATCTGGGAGGAGGCGTGGGGCACAAGCTGCTGCTAGTGTCCAAAAGAGGAACGCTGCCAGGAGGACATGAGGTTGAGGTGGAGACCCCGACTCAGCAACCAACCCCATCTTCAAATCTCACCGAGAAACAGCTCTACAAAGACAAACGTAATGAAGTTGCTCATTCAGCGCATGTAAAATGAGGATATCATAATAAAATATGCTAAGCAACAAAGTAGAACATCAGATTAAAGAAGTACTATTGGGAGCATGTGATGTTTGTTTACAGCCGAGCTATTTGCAGTCTTTAAGCCCCTTGACTTGACCATCTGTGAAATTACGTTTTGTGCATTCCAAAGTGAGGACTATGACTCAAAGCTGTACCCAAAGTATGTATATCTATCTATCTATTAAAAAAAATTAATTGTGTGAATTAAACATCCATATTTGGTGCACACATGAACGCCACCACAATGTCATAAATGGGTCAATGACATGATGGGTCATTTTTAAGGCTAAGAATAATAATAATAAAAACAAAGATATGACATCCAAAGTATGCAAGGTAGTACAACTTGATCTCTTTTATTGAATCCAAAAGGTTTTAATTATATTTCACTACATATACGGGTATTTTAAAGATTCAACCTTCCAGTTCAACCTTCCGAAGGCCAATACAGCCATTTCATTTGTTATTAAAATATCTTAAAATGAAATCAATTTTATTTTATTTTCATAAATATAGTTTTTTCATGAATAATTATCTGCAAGTTAATAATTTTAGAAATATTCATGGTTAAACCGAATTTTAAACTGACTTTTTTTGGTGACAAATTTTGTCCATCTTGTAAAAAAAATGACATAAGCAGTGTTAATTGATTATTAAAAACAACATAATCTCATGTTAACACTCCAAAGTTAATTATCTCGATCAATTTTTTTTTTAACACTTAAACCTTATTCGTCATTGACTGAGTAAGAATACGAGTGGGAAGCTCGGGAGTTTCTTTAAGCCCCGATCTTTACGAGCTGGGGGAGTGTCAGTGAACAACATAGCGGAGCATCAAAATACTTAAAGGTTTATTGACAGGCTTGATGGACAAAGCAAAGTAAGCTAACTGCCTAAACAATATATAATAGCATTATAATATAACAATATAATAGGTAACGATTAAGTAGGCTACAGTGGCTTCATAAATCAATTTAAAACAAAAATCAAAACACACTGATGCACATTCCTTTTTCTTCATTTTAATATAAGTAGAGTTTAAGAACCTTGCTGTATTTTTGTGTAATTAATAAAGAGAAAATACACCGCTATCTTACTCGACAAAAGTGCTTGAGCACACCTGACGTCATAAACACGACTTCCCACATCGGAAATACAAACTTCCCAGTAGGACTTAAACGTACGATTAGGTGATATGTGGGAGTTTATCAAAAGCGATGACCTCCTGCTTCATATCTTTGGTGCTTTGATCCACTCAACAGCGCTTATGAAAGCATGCTAGAAGGATCTAGGTTATTGTTAAATGCCATGCAATAGCCGCGTGCAGCGAAAGTACAAGGACCCGAGGGTCCAGTCTCACCTCAGCCAGCTCTAGTGTCTGCTAACACAAAACATGTGAAGTAAAAATCCCTCAAAGTAAACAAGGCCATACTTATCCACATGGAGAGGGAGTTGTAAGAGTGCATACGTTGATAGTCATAGCAAATTAGGCCAACATCTGGACAGACACAGGGAAAGGAATTGCTCACTCAGCTATGAACAGATATGGTTAAATGCCACAGGCATCATGGCACAAAACCAGAGAAAATTTGCAGGGGAGCTCATTTTAAAGTAGCTTATTTTAAATCGTTTGCTTGTAGATGTCATTGATTACATATAAACAACATTTATGGTTATGTAGTGATAAATCAAATCTTCTATAGCCTCATTCAAATCTAAACTAAAAACCTATCTTGTATAATTTCCAACCCGCCTCTGTTTAGTGTTCTGCTCTGCTGTTTTATATTTGTATGTGTATATGTGATTGTTTTGCTGTGTTTGTTATCTCCTTGTACAGTGACCTGGAGCTTGGGAAAGGTGCTTTATAAATACAACTTTTTTTATTTATAGTCAATTATTAGTATGCAGACATTTTAGTCTAGAAGAGAAGATATGAAGCGATTCACTTACAAGACAATATTTCTGTCAAAAATCACATTATTTTCTAGCAATAAAATAATTAAAGTTAAATAGTCTTTAAAAATAAATTAGGGTAAATTAAATAATGAATCAAAATATTTGTTAAATCACATTTTTGGGGTACTTGGGTAAAACTGAGAACATTCAATTATTATTAATTATTAATATCAATTATTGATTATTATTATGTCTAATTATTCCTATCTTGTTGTAGAAATGGATCACTAATCGATGACAGGTAAGGACTTTTTGTGCGTGTGTGTGTGTGTGTGTGTGGGGGGGGGGGGTGCTGGACCTAGTTCATTAAAATTAATAGTTTTTGTATGATTTTAATTGCTGGATACAGTTAAAGAAGGTTTCATAGAAAGGTTCATAAAAACAGAAATGGAAAAATTAAAAAAAGACATTACAATGTATTCAATTAAATAGAAAGTCATGCCAAAAGTCAAGTCATGTACCAAGTTTTTTTTTGGTCATTAAAATTAATTAATTAAAAAAAAAATTTAAATACACTGAATTCAATTCAACAGATTATGTCAAAAATATGACATTTTGTATGATTTTAATTGCGGGTGCAGTCCAGAAGGTCTAGATCTCCGAGGTGGAACAGCCAGAGTTTTTAATTGATTTGTTAACGTTAAAAAGGTAATGGGACAGTAAAATACACCCTATTCATTCGGAGCACAAATAATTTGGTATGAAATAATCCCCCCCGACCCCCACACGATCATGTTCTGACAGGTGGACCTTTTTTTTCAACATTCTACAATGCATCTTTACTTCAATTGTCTCTGAAAGAACAGTGAGTTGCAATAACCATGATCCCTGTTTGGGTGGGTTTCTTCTCCCTCCTGAGGAGGGGAAGCGAGCATCGCTCTGTGATTACTGATGAGCTGTCTGCCTCTGCAGCAGACCCACAGACACTTCCAGTTTCACACAGTCTCTGCCGCAGTGCAGGAGCCAGCCAGCTCATCAACACCAGTGCTTGTCTTACCAAGATCAAACTCTCTTCTGTTCCCCTCTCAGTCTTGAGTGTGATTGATGTTTTGATAGAGAGTCAGCGGTGTATGTAAATAAATATGATTTTTGTTGTGTTTTTTGTGCACTAATAATGTGACGTATTTGATATGGCACTTCATTTGTGAAGGTCCATCGCCGTCAGTGCGCTCTGGGCAGACTAATGAAGCAGACAGAGCTGCAAGGATAACATGTGCCCTGCATTTAACCAATAACAAAAAAAGATTCAAAACCCCACAGAGCCACTATTATAGCAGAATCAAATAAACCTCAAAATGAAATGGACTTTTAAAATAAAAGTTAATAATAATTATTAATTTGTTAGTGATTAAATTATACTTCTCATAAATATAAGAACATTAATACAAATATCTAATCACATTTTAAAATGTATTGTTGTAAAAATGGTTCCAAAAAGAGACGACAGTATTTTTTTACATGGGTGGAAATCATGCGGTATCTTTTCTTTCCAAATATTCTTCTCATAATTGTAATTAAACTACTCTTAATAGGACGATTATATTCATGGAATGTTAATAAACATCATAAACAATTTTGTTAACCCAAGCAAAATGGCTCTTCCATGTTTGTGCTCCTTTAATCATCCTGCAAGCAGCTGATAGTGTCTGATCCCGTAGTCTCCCATGAGCACTTTGTCCACCCACTCTCTCTCTATAGGGCAAATGCACACATGATCAATTGTTCAGCGTTCCTGAAGCTCTGCCAGACTCGCTCTCTTTTGTTGTTTTGTAAACAGAAGCAGCGAAATCTTCCTTGAGTTTCTAGGACACATCCAAACACTTTAAACAGAACGTCCTGTCCACGACTCAGTCAAGCAAGTCAAGACTTCCTTTCCCGGATCAGTAATCCCAAATTTAGCCATTACTCTTTTCATCTGTGTGTATTTATTTTGATGATTTAAACTGCTGCTCATTTAATCGTCGAATTAAATATTGGTTCCGATTATAACAATATCCACATGCCTGCTCTGCAGACTGAAACGGGATATTGAGCAACCCAAAGGAAAGACACGCGAACATGCAACGATATGAAC